GCTGCTGTGCCAGGGATGGCAACCAAAAGCAGCTGCTAAAAAATCCGAAAAAAAAACTGAAAGTGAAAACAAAGCCAAGTTGTAATTTTTCCTTGGAATTGGAATTACAGAGGAAAGTGAAATTTTCCTGGGATGGGAAAGATTTCATTCGAAAAATATGGATTTTGAATGAAAACAATACTAATTTTAATGTAAATATTTAATTTTTAACAGCAGAAAAATTAATTTGTAATTTTTTAGCAAAATGAAAGGGTTTTGAAAGACATTTCTTTGTAAACAAAACAATGTGGAATTTAAGTAACATATAAATTTAAGTATTATTAATATGTCTTACGTTTTAAAAAACAAACAAAAATCTTATATGTACGATAAATATGACTTAGAGCAAGGGATACCCAGTACAATTGCACATCTTGCTCTTTCATTTATTAAAACCAATGATAATTATTATTTAAAAAATTTACATGAATTTTATGAATTTTTCAGTATTTTAAAAAGCGTTCTAAACCAATGAAATATTTATTAGCTTTATTTCAACGACGTAAAATATCATAGCATACTTTTGGATAACTTTTAAAATCTTTTCACATCTTCAGCAATTTCTGCTTGACTCCCCAATAACATTTTATTATACAAAAAATTAAATATTCAACAAAAAACGAATTCCAAATAAATAAAATAAAACCAAACCATAAAACCACCAACCTAGAATCCTTCCACACTGCTCTCCCAATACCACAAACATCTCAAAAACTAATTTCACCCATTTATTATCAATTAAACCAACAATTACATGCTAATAATAGTTAACAATCGAGACCGAAATAGACATGCAAACTGCTAAATACCAGCTGAAAATGATCACAAATCAAATGGAAGTCTGGGCAATCAATATGTCAGATATTTTCTCACAACGCCCAGCCCTCAAAATTCGTTATAGCCAGCTTTTTTGAAGTGAGCGGACGGACTAACGCAGAAACTAACGCACTTTTCAAAAATGAACAAAAAAACTAAAACTAAAACTGAACTGCGGCTTGGTCGTGTGTGGAACCCCTTGACATTAATAGCGAGTCGTCGCTAGAAGTCTGCTGCAGGGGCTGCTGGGGGAGCTAAGTTGCTCTGGGGATGGTGGAACCGCCACAAAAGAACCTTGGACCGGCGCTGAACTCGCTGCAAACTGAACAATCTTAGCCGTCTCGACACGTCGGTAGCGTTGACGACCGCTCGCAATGTCAACGGCTCGAGCAGCATTGGGGTTTTTTTTCTCTCAATTTTTTTCAATGACTGCCAGCTTCCAGCAGTCCCCGAGTCCGAGTTCGAGCTAGAATCCGAATCCGAAAGCGAGTCCGGGTCGGCGGTGGTGTATCCTTGAAAGCGAGAGTTCAATGCTTGGGCCGTGCGGCGTTTGAACCCAGCCGAAAAAAAAGGAAAACCAGAGAAAAAAGAGAGGCGGCGGCAGGACTTTCTTCGTCTCTGCCTACTTTTATCAATGTTCGGAAACTATACTGTGGGAAAATATGGGGAATTTGCTAAGGAATTTGTTTGGAGAAAAGATTTAGATTTAGAAATTAGGGATATAAAAAGAAATAAGAAAAAATCTGGGAAATTGTACAAGAAATTGTTGGGAAGAAACATTTTTTAAATTAATTTTTTGAGTTTTTAAGGGGTTTATTTTTAAGATTAAGGAAATTCTTGACCTACAAACAATAATAAGAAGAATAATACAACGATAAATGGCGCCCCACGGAGCCAAAAATATTTCATTGCCTACTTTTGAGCATAATTTTAATTGATTTCAAACTATCAAGGAACTTTAAATATTTTTTTTTTTTTTTTTTTCTATTATTTATTAAGGCATACGGGGAGTACTGTTTACCCCTTTGTGTCCTTAGTGTCTGTTAATTCAGCCCTAAAGCGGGCGCGCCGGCAACCTTATTGGTTAGCATTTTCATAATTACAAAATAGCATAAACATCACATTGTAGGTCGTCTGCTTCTGGCCCCAGGCGACCGAAAAATGAGGTCTCCAGGGTACCTCCTCCTCAGTCTTCTGGGGTTTATCCCTCTTGTTAGCCTATTGGCCAGCCAGTTTCGATGCTGCGCCAGTCTGTCATGGTAGCGACTTGAGTGCATGCTGATTTCTTCCATCACCAGGGGAAGCTTCAAGTCCTTGCGCAGGGTGGAGTTGCGGACGTACCACTCGCAGCCAGTGATAATTCTGGCTACTCTGTTCTGAGCAGTCTGGATTCTCCGGATCTGACTATCGCATGTCAGCCCCCAGATCTGGCAACCGTATCTCCAGATTGGCGCTATAATCTGCTTATAAATTGTAAGTTTGTTGGCGAGTGACAATTTGCTACGCGAACAGAGTAGCCAGTAGTGCTTCGAAACTGCTGCACGAATGCGGGTTCTAATCGCTGAGACATGTTTCGCAAAGGTTAGCCTCCTATCTAAGATCACTCCAAGATACTTGGCTTCATTCCTTTGCGGTACAGGGGCCTCCTCGATGTAAACTGCTGGCGTCGTTTTTCTGCGCAATGTAAAGCACACATTGACGGACTTGGCGTTGTTGATGCCTTAAATATTAATAAATAATAATCGTTTTTAGCCATATTTTTTCAAGGTGTCCCTTAACTGTGGGTGGGCCTAGGGCGCCGGACCCAAAACTGATTGCGCCTCGTTTGCGGCATGAACTTCAACGAATTTATTCAAGTTCAAGGTTGCCGGAAAGCCCGAGCCTCGAACCTACTCGAACCCCGTAAACGCACAACCCAAACCCAAACAGTCGGCTCTTTGTCTGCGGCACGCACACACACCCCTTACACCCACTCAGTCTCCAGTCTCCAAAGCACACGCACACTCACGCCAAAATGGTCGACTAACGGGTGGAGTGTGGGCAGCCATTTTGTCTGTGTGTGTGTGTGTGTGCGTGGCCCCGAAAACACCAATACACAGGCAGGTTTAGGCAGACATTTCCTACACACGCACAACAGTCATCGCCACTCACCCACACACCTAGGCAGACGAAGCGAGGCAAATATCCTTTTGACCTTGAGCGCACAATTTCCACACGCAAAATTTATTGACCCGACTGTCTGACTTGGCTTCGCCTCATTCGGAAACTTTGTGGAAAACAAAAAACGAACAGCGCAAAATAACAACAATAAAAAGAGAGTAAAATATGGAAGATAGGAAGTTTTTATGTTTGCAAGACGAAGATTAGATGTCCTTTTTTTAGTGAAAAATTCTTTTAAAAATTTTTAAGTTTGTGTACAATATAATTTTGTGGCTTTATTTTAATTATTTTATTTCATTTCTTGAGAAAATCTATCTATTTTTTCCCAATATTTCTTTGACTTTAACATAAATAATTTGATATTAAATAAAAAATAAGAATTACTATTTCGAGGCCTTGTAAAAAATAGTAAAAAAAATTAAAAAAGTTAAAATTTTTTTTAAGAAACTTAACATGAAATATAATTCAAATTTTCCATTAAAAAAACATGTTAAATGTCCTTAAAAAGGGTTGTATAGTATTTCAATTTTTAAAGTTCTTCCAAGAAACCAACACACCCACTATACCCTTTCAAACAGTATTCAAAAAAAAGGAGAAAGAAGAAGGCAAAAGGCATACCAAAAATGGCCGTCCTGTGCGGTTCCTTCCCGCCCCTCCCCCTCCGTCTTCTCTCGGGGTTCTGTCTGGGTTTTATTTTCTGTTTCCCTTCTTTTTCGGTTGAGAAAAGGAAGTAGGTGCCCCGCCGGAAAAGGGTGAGGGCTTGAAGGCGGCGGCCAAGGCCCTCTAGGGGGTGGCTGCGGTAAAGCAGACGCTTCCCAGAAAAGCGAGGAGGCCCCCCCATCTCCAGTGGCTGCCGTCGTCTGTGCCTTTCGTGTCAATAGACGTTTATTTGTCTGCCCCCCCTGGAAAAACCCTACCCCCTGCGGGTGGAAAATCCCTACCTACTCAGCGGGTGGTGGTAGACCCTACCAAAAATGTTGGTTTCCTTTCCATTTCTTTTTTGTTTCTTTTTTTTTTAGGCACAGGACGAGACAACAACCCGACGAGGAGCGACGACATTTATATTTCTGTTGCCGTCGCCGTTGCCGTCGCCGTCGCAGTCGCTAGGTGGTTGACTGTCGCGAGGGGGCGGCATTGGGTTTGTTTTAGGGAGGACATCCTGTCGGGATTTAATAAACAAGTTACTGGCCTTTTTATTTATTTCTGGCTGTTTTGTATGTTTGGCTGACAGTTTCAGTTTTCATGGCAGACACACGCTTTGCGGGGAAAAGGTTCTTGCCAGAAATTAAACTTGGAGACCAGCTGGGAAATTCAATTAGTTAAAATAAATATTTTTGAAAAAGGAATTTCCACGGGGATTAGGCAAGAAGATATTGAAAGGAAGAGGAAATCTTGTAGAGAAGTCTAATTTCCCTTTGAAAATCTCATGGTTAATGAGAAGAAATATGTAAATTTCTTTCAAAAATTAAAAAAAAATTTTGTTGTATCTATTAATATATTTTTTGTAAGTAATAAATACAAATTGAAGGCTAATTAAATGATTTTTTTCATTTAATTTGCTTTTAAATATTTAAAACTGTGTGGCTAGTGTCCAATCGCCACAAAACTGTTCCACTGAAGTTAAAACTGTAGGCTTTTGAGTTGTTGCACTGCTTTTCCTATAGCTCCTAAACTGTAAACTGCTTGATAAGCAGTCTATTGGACAAAGCAGTTTACAAGCAGAATCACAACTTGATAAAACAGTGCTCAAGCAGTGCAAAATATGTTTGGCAACCCTACCTTAAGGCGCCAAATTTGAAATCGCCAGAGAGAGAAGTAAAAATTAAATTTAAAAACATTCAGACTTCAAATTATAATTCAAAAATTTCCAAATATATTCGAGGCTCAAATGTTATATATATAAAATATACCTCGAATCAATTAAAACCCTTCAAAATAATCTTCAAATATTTTAAATAAATAAAGCAATAAAATCTCCGACTCACCGCTCAGCTTTTCCATTCGCTTCTCGATGTTCAAACACTTGGACATTAACTTCTCGACGAGCAGCGGATTGGCTGCGGCACTTGTGCCAAAGCGCGGCTCCTCCGCCAGCGGCTGTCCGCCCATAAGAGCATACTCCAGTTTGGTGGCACCACAGTCGCCAGCTACTCCTCCACCTCCTCCTCCGGCGCCACCACCACCTCCTCCAGTTCCTGCTCCTCCTGAGCATTCATTATTATTGTTATTAATCAGATCGCCGCACAAGGCAGCCGCTGCGGCGGCCAAGGCTGCCGATGCCGCCGAATTGGAACCATCGAAGGCACCGCTGGCATCTACCAGACTGGCGGCCACCGAATCAACCAAATTCTGGGCACTCAGCTGGGCATTCTCTTTGGCTAGCAGATCATCAGCGGCGGCCACTGCGCTGCCAAAGTCATCCGATCCGATCACATTGTTGTTGTTCTCCTCCTGGGAAGCACATGGCGTGAGGCGGGAGGATTTGGGAGCGAGTAGTTACAGCGGAGAGCGGAGAGGGAAGAGAGAGAGAGAGAGAGAGGAAAAGAAACGAAATAATGATGAAAAATCCGCTTGAAAGTTATAACCCTTTGGCCGGCAGTGCTGTCTTTAGTTGGAATTTTAATTGAATTTTAAAGGAAATCTATAAATTTATAGTATTTTTAATTTTTATAAATTAAATTTATGATTTAGGAGTATTAAATTTAAGAGAAGAAAGCTATATATATATAGACAGCACTGCCATAGGCCCGAAAATCTATAGATATGTCTTTAGCTTAAACCTAAAATGTAATGATTAATTTTATTAAACTTCTCTGTTCTGTTCTTGGCGGATGTACATTTTCGACTTTCACCTCGACGGTGGCCAAATCGGACAGCAGGCTCTCGATCTCAAAGTTGCCCTCGAAGCTGCGGAAGAGCTCATCGGAGGAATCGCTGCCGCAGAGTGGTTCCACCACCACATTGACGCTGCGTGCAGCCGCTCCGCTCAGTTCGTTGCATGGCTGCACTGCGCCACCATTTTGTCCCACGCCCAGGGACACGCCCAAGGATACGCCTCCTCCTACGCCTATGCCAACTACTCCGCCTCCTCCTCCTCCACCGATGGTTTGCTGCGAATTGCCGTTGGGGTTGCCAGCCGATTGGATAGTGGGATTTATGTTTTCCGTTCCAGTCACCGTTGAATCATCCTGCGAGAGAGGGGTTTAATTTAAAAAAATAAATAAATAATTGGGGTGTATATATATATTATTATAGTAATTATGGTATATATTATAATATACTCTAATATTTAAAGAAAGAAGATAAAAATAAGTGAAAGGAATATCTAATATACTCAGGCAAGCTTAGCGGGGGATTAAATTAATTTATTAATTGAATTTAATATTCAAATATTTGTGGATTTATAATTGATGCTTTTTGTATATATTTTTTATTTGAATTTAAAGAAAAAGGATAAAGAAATTGTGCTTATACTTAAATATTTATTGTTTAGAAAAACTATAAAAATATAAATTTATAAATTATAATATTAATAATATTATAAAAATCAATAAAATCCCTTAAAAAATTTTCATAATTTTACCAGATCTCAAAAAAAAATAAATTTACAAAGTAAATTACTAAACAGTTGCCTAAAAAATTACATTGTTTACTTTTAACGAAATTTTTAAAGGTCTTAGGATATTACAATTTAAAAACTCACTGAAAAGGTGCTGAAAACTATGCTAATAAATCTTACATTATAAAAAACAAAACATACTCTTGGAATTTAATATCTTAAATATTTTAAAATGGGTTTTTAAACACTTTTCTTATGGTGTTAAAATCTCATCCGAGTTTTTAGACTTCCTCGGTTTATTTAGAAGGAATTTGAGACTACAAACATATCATTGCATACTTTTAGACACCATTTTAAAGTGATTTTAAAGCCAAGGAGATTTATTTTAGACTTTTAGACACCATTTTAAAGTGATTTTAAAGCCAAAGAGATTTATTGTATACTTTCCTTCATTTATACTATCCATCCTATCATTACTATTTTTATTATTAGTACTATTCTAATGTTTGTTTCTAATTAATTTATTAATTATTATTTACTCACAGCTATGCATGTGGCCAAGTCTAAACCACCCACGAGTCGACCATCATTATCCGGACACCAGAGCAGCGCATCGTCGATAAAGGGCATCGCTGAGAGGGCAAAGCCTGCACTGCAAATGCTGTTCGCTGCCAGCGTGCAGCCGTTTCCCGAAAACCCCTGCCAGTCGCGAAAATTCTGATCAATCTTGATGCCACCCAGGTCCAGGGTTCTCCTCTCGTCTCAAATCAGGAAAATGTATATTTCAATTTCTTTTTTCTAGCTTCCTTTTTCTTCCTCTTGATGTATACCTATCACACTTTTGGTTCGATCTTTTCATAAGATTTTTTGCGTTTTGGAAATTTTCTTTTTTGTAGGCACTTTATATGAGACGGTTTTGGTTTTCCATAAAAAATTTGTATAAAGTTCGAAAAAAGTTCGAAGTCCGTTCCTTTGTCGATGTGTGTAAAACTTGTTTTTAATATTTTGTATTTTGTTTTTAAAGCACTTAAAAGTGTTTCGATTTAAAAATCCTTGTCTTGTATATATTTATATGTGTAAGGTTAATTTTAATATTATTTTGGCTTTGTTTTGGAGTCTGCAAAGAGAGGAGAAAAAGTAGATTAGATAAAAAGAAAATTAAGGGAATTATATTGATGATTGATAATGGGTAAAATAAAAAAAAATAGTTGTTATTAAAGGAGTATTATTATTGTTTTGAAAACATATTTTTAAAGCTTAAGAATGAATTTTAGTTTGTAAAAAGTTTCTATTTATTAGATTATTAAATCGCCTTTTGCTTTAAAATTGCTTAAAATAACCAAAAATTGTATTTTAAATATTTACCAAAAATATTTGAATATTTATATACACCTTTAACTTAGCAAAAACCTATTTTAGGGTAATTTTAAAATATAAGTTAGAGTTTTTATTAAATATAAATTATAAAAAAAAATATTTACATATTAATATATAAAATCCAAGCCATTTTTGATAATTTTTAGTACTTTCTTATAGAATTAAAATTTAAAATTTATGTTTTTAAAAGAAATATTTTATACAAAAATAAATTCTTAGCTTAGCATAATTTCCTATTTTTTTTAAGCCTGTTCCTTTGATTAATTCTCTTTCTCTCTCTATTTATTCAGGGAATTAACTATTATTTACCATTTAAAAATATTTTCTTATACCTAACTTTAAAATAAAATTTCTTACATCAATTAAATCCATAAAAACTCCCTCTTCCCGATCATTGTTTCTATATCTAAAAAAAAATCCCAACCATTCCATTTTATTGCCTTTTTGCCAAGTTTTTCTTTGGGGAAATTCCAGACCATCTGAATTTGCATCTGCGCCTCCCCAACAATGCAGCATCATTGGGCATCCATTAAATTATTTGCATTTCTACAGGCACCAATAAATAAACAACAAAAAATATATATAGAAGGAGAGAGAGAGAAGAGGATGCAAAATATAGAAAGTCGTCTTGTTGCATTGTTTCAATTTTTGCCTTGCGGCTTCCGGTTATAACTAATTTTCCTTTGATTCAAAGTTTTTCTTTTCTCTCTCTCACTCGCCTCGTCTCGTCTCATCTCGTGTTTGTGTTTAAAGTTCAATAACATTAGAAATTGCGAATTACAACATAAAGGCAAAAGAGCGGAAAGAAAACTGGAGAGCGAAGAAAAGACATCGAAATTTTTGTTTAAAAAAAATACAAGAAAAGCAAAAGAAACAAAAACAAAAAATAAAAAAAAACAAAAATAGAAGCAAAGCTGGAAAAATGCTTTTTACATAACATGTTACTGAACTGCAGCAGCAACAGCAGCGGCAACAAGTTTTGCACTCGCCAAATTCATTACAAGTGAAAGTCCAAAAACAACAGCAACATAAATGCAACTGCAACACCAACAACAACAATAAATGTAAGCTAAGCTACAACAACAACAGCGCAAAAAGTTCGTTAACATTGAACTACGAAGCAAACGAGGCGGAATACGAAGAGAAAAATATGCGCATAGAAAAAAAAATGGAAAAAATATATAGACAAAAGTTGCAAACGGCAAACAGCAAACTTGAAAGCAGCTTTAAAGTGCAAGCGTTAGTTGAAAAAAATATAAAATAAATAAAGGAAAGAGCAACAAATAATATCAGGTTTAAAAGCTACACAAAATGCACCTAAATTATTGTTACTACATAATATTTGAGGGAATAGAAATTAAGAAGAATTAATAAAAACATTTTAGAAATCTTAAAATCAGGGAAAAGCCATTATTAAATAATACATAATTTAAAAATTATAATATTAATTACTATTCAAAACAATTAATAAAGTAAGAACCCCTCCTTTCCAAATAATAAATAATTAATAAAATAAATAATGATATTAAATAATATGAAATATTCAATAAAATCGTAGACAATTAATAATTAATAAAATAACAATTATTTAATAAAATAGTTAATATAAGAAAATAAATAAGAAACTAAATAAAATCCCATAAGTAAATGAAGTAATGAGAATTAGAATAATCACAAGGAACTTGAATAATAAACCCCTAATAATATTTCAAAAGAGGTAGCTCGAGCTATAAGCTCAAAGTTTGTATTTAAAAATATAGTATTAATAATGTAACAAGGAAAATCTATAATTGAAAATGAAAAAGCATTACAAAAATTAAAAAAATAAAATTGTAAAATTAAAAAAAATATAAAAATCTAATCTAACGAATAGCTGGTAAATTAATAAAGCTTACAAAGCCACAAAAACAACATAAGCAGTAAGTAATAATATCAATAGAAAAAGGCACCAACATGGTAGCAAACAAAGCAACAACATTAGTGGCTTAGAAGAGCAGAAAAAAAAGGAACTAAGATCATCCACAAAAAAAAGCGCCAAAACCAAGAGCAACACCAGTTGCAAGAGAAGCAACATTAGCAATAGAAGCAACCACAAACAAAGCAAAGAAAACACCAACAAACAGCATCTAATGCTGACGAGTACATTGAACAACAATTGCAAGTTGCAACTGCAAAAGGAATAACAACAGCAACACCAACAACAACATAAACAACAGCAACAACTCCAACAACAACAAGTTCAACAACAACACCAACAACTACCACATGCAACTTAAAGATTACAACATTGCGCCGCCTGGCACCCGCGTAGTCATCATTTCTCTTTTTTTCTTCAGCTTCTCTTTTCTTTTTTCTCTACATTTTCCTATTGCTATCTTTGCTTTTGAACGCTTCGGGTTTTCCACAGCTTGCTGTTATGATGCGCCTGCGCAGCGGATAACTCGTTTTTCATTATTCAATACAAGCAGCAGCAGCGGCAGCAGCAGCAGCAGCACAAGCGCAGCTATTTCACTTTCCAGCCAAACGGCAAGTTCAAGCGAAAAAAAAAAACAGCCAAGGAAAACTTGAAATGGAAAAAGCGAAAAGAAAAGCAAAAATCTAGAAAGAGAGAGAGATAGAGAGAGAGAAGCAAGAAAGGAAAAGCCAATGGAAAATCACCTCCAGCTTCAGCTGGCGCCAAGTTAGCCATTTGGCCATTTACTGTTCGCCGTTCCCCCATATCGCCCCGCGGCCTGAATTATAATTAGACATTTTGGCCCGAGCCGCTCAACATTTATGCAAAATATTGGTTTGTCTTGTATCCCCCTGTATTACCCCTTTTTTTCTATTTTTCCCCTATACACTCCCCTTTTTACTCCTCTTTTAACTCCCCCTTTTGCCTTGGTTTTTGTAAACAACGAATAATCACAGAGCTGCCACAGTGCGTATACGCAATCTCTGATTAGCGGTAGAGCATAGATTGGTAAGAGAACTTGAGAATATGTGTACTTAGTAACTGCACAGAACGAAATTAAATTAGTTAAATAAAATATTAGAAATTTATGGGGATTATTGAATTTTTTTAGGCCAAACTAAGGGCTGTATTTTGAAAATATAGAAAATTATTTGAGCCTTACAAGAAAACTCATCAGGTATCTTTTTGGATAGTTTGCTTGGTTCCAAGCTAAACTTTTAGGTAAATAAATTAATTCGAAACTAAAAACTAATAAGAAATAAATAAGAACTAAAACTAGACTCTTTAAGGTTTCCTGTTTTGTAATTTTACAGGAAGAAATACTATTTTTCTACGGATTTCTAACCTTAAATATCTACGATGCTCAAAATGGGTTTAAAAATAATATTTTTTGATAAATATATTTACAGAACTTTAATTTTAAAAACTCTAATTCATGAAATCATTTACTAGTTTAAAAATCTCTTAAATTATATAACATATATTATTTTTTCCAGTGCTATAGTAGCTCACAGCTTCCATCACTTCCTGGTTTCCCCTGCGAGAGTGGCTAGCAATGAGAATTCTCGATTTGGGTGCGGTCCATAGACCGCTGATCACCGATCGCCTATCGTCGAATGGCCACGCAATTGAGCGGTATTCCCGGTATTGGGTTCTCGAGAGGTGCACCACATCGAGAGCAGGGGTTCATAACGGTAATAGAAAAGCTTTCTAGTTTTCCTTGGAAATGCCTGACCTTACTAGGGTGATTAATCAAATGTTTTAATCTTTTAATTTCAAAAGATTTACTTTTTAAAAACTGATTAAGTTATCTAGAATCTTCAATTTATAACAAGATTATATATTTATCTATTATTCTATTATTATGTTTTTATTTATTGTATGATTTTATTCTTAATGTTTTTTGATATATTTAAAAAAAATGCAAAAATAAAAATAAAAATCCTTAAAAATACCTAAATGGTATTTATAAACTTAAATTAGTCCTAAAACTAATTCAAAATAATTTATAATTTTATAATATAATAAATAATATATTCCTTGTAAAAAAATCTTTTTTAAAAATAAATAATAAATAAAATAAACTTTATAAATTTAATTAACATTTTAAACTAATTTAAATCCATGTTCAATCATATACATTTTCCTCTCTTAAAATTTCAATTAAGTTGCCTAGTTATTTTCACAACAGGTTACCCTAATCTATATAATCATGAAATTACATTTGGCCATAACCCATTGTTAGGGTTTATCGTGCCACAAATTGCACCTATGAAAATGATTTTCCCTTGATAGATTCCAGTTCTAGAGATTAGAGCGAGAGATGACCTTAATTTTTGGGCGGTTCCTTACTCACCTTTCGCTTTTTTATTTTTTTGTTGTTGTTTGTTGTCGTTGCTGAATGTTGATTACTTTCCTCCTCGTTTTGTAAATGGTGTTTCGTTGGTGTAAATATATAAATTTTGATTGTTTGTTACTTGTATATATTGAACTACGATTTAATATTATTGTTTTATAATATTCTTATTATCCGTAAGGCAGTGTAAAGTTGTCAAAAAGTTGTTTACTTTTTTGGATTGATTCACTTGTTGCACATTGACAATTGTATTTGCTTTGCCGGGCACTCGGGCGCATTTTCTTAATGCGGCTTTTAAACTTTAAACTTTTTTTTTTTTTTGTGGCAGCAACACTTGTCACAGGTTGTGGTGGTAAGTGGAATTTTTGGGGAAAACAGTCTCGGAGCAGAGTTTTATCTTACAGCGAATGCGATAGATGTATAAAGTTTTATTGCCATTAGCATCGATATCGATGGCATTGACCAAATTTGCATCAGTTCCCAGTTTGCTGCTTTTGGCACGCATTTATGGTGTTTGAAGGTGCGCTGGGGCATTTGGGGGTCTGGGCGGGGATCGGAGGACGCCAAGGCGGCTGTGAAAATGGCCCCCCGAAGTCACCGATTTTTCACCGAATGCGTTTTTTTTTTGCCACCTTATGTCGGCTTGCTGTGCGGCCTCTGCAAGTAGAATCGGAAAAAAGACAACCACAATCAATAAATATGAAATAAACCAAAGTTCGCTGCATAAGTTTGAATTGTTTAAAAAAATATATATATAACAACAATAACAACAATAAAAGGAGACAACGCGAGACATTGACAAACCGGTTGACGAGTCGTAGAAAAAGCAGTGCCAGAGGCCAAAGACAACGCCGAAGATCAGGGTGTTCCCATTAACATTATTTGATGCGTTTTAAAAATTTAACAAAAATTTAGCTGGTAACATTTAAGATTTTACTAACTTTATAATATTTATTTAATAAATTACATCGAATTTTATACAATTTTACTGAGGTAAAAAGAGATTTTGGAAAAAGATTTATTCACAAATAAAAGATGAATATTTATAATAATTAAATAAATATTATTATAATTACTAAAAATTATTATTGAAATTTTGCTTTTAAAAATAATATTATCTACACAGAATTAAGACAAAAAAAAATTCACTTTATCTCGAGTCTTCCAGAAATCATCATGATTTTTAAAACCTTAAAAAATGTTCCTAAAAATATGCAATACATTCTTTTCATTTTGTTTTTGTTTAAAATTTAATATATAATTATTTAAAAGTATAAATTACCTATATTACATTTTTTATATATTTTTTTAACAATTTCCAGAACACCCCTTGCCTCCTCAAGTCATCCATTTTCTGCATAATATCCCATTAAAATCTTAAAGAGACCAATTCTACAATATTGATAAAAGAGACGCACACTTTAAAGCTTTCAGTGCCTGCAAAATCATGGAAGAGCTTTTCCTATATAAAAAGTATATAGACTGTATAATACAGCTATGCAAAATGCGTTAGCTGCAGAGAACAAGAGAGTAAGAGAGAGAAAGACAGGTGGAAGGCAAAGAGAGAGACACGAAGTGCGCCGGCTTCTTTGACTTTTGTCTATTAACTGCGTAAATATATATGTATGTATATGTGTGTGTTCTTGTTATTATTCGCTGAGCTTTTGCAGTGTTTTTATTATTTTTATTGTTCGCTATGTGTGTGTGTGTGTGTGTGTGTGCATGGTGACCTTCTCACACTGTCATGGCTACGTATAATAAAATAGTAGAAAAACAAAAGCTTTTGGCTTTATAATTTGTATGCAGCTCCCAATGCGTGTCGATGTAAGTGTGTGTGTGTGTGTCTGAAGAACATAAGCGAGTCGTGCTTAAAAAAAAAAACAATAACAACAGTAGGAGATACTATAAAAACTACAATAGCTAGAAAAAAAGACTATAAACAACAACCACAGGCAATTTCATTGAACAAAATATTATTAACGTTCCGCTCAAGATCGTCGCTTTTTTTTGCCATTTGAAAAGTTAAGCTAAGTTTGTGTTTTGTTGTTGTTTTTTTTTTGCTGGCTGACTTGAAATACTTCCGATTCATCGGTAAAAAAGCTCTTTTTTTATGTTTTGGTGACAAGCTGCGAACAGGGGAACAAATCATTAATTTAGCTAAGCGCGTGCTTAAAATTGTTAAAAAAAAAAAGAGGAACTATTGGGATAATTACTTAGAACTTGCATATTTTATTAATTAATTTTATTTATATTTTCTAGAAATAATAAAGTTAATTAAAGACAAAAATTAAGGAAGTAAAGCCTTATTTATAATATAAAACCTATAAATATTTATCTCAGTGCTATTTAAAGTTCTCTAAGTTTCTACTTAACTTACTTTTTAAAAATTAAAGTACAATTTAGACTCCCACAATATAAATTTTTAAGTTTTTTACATATTTTAAGCTGTAAAATATCTACATACCATTTTAATTATAAATTCTTATAATAATACCCCCCTAAATAATTATAATACCTATAAATAAACCTTAATGTTCTGGGTTTTCCACCTTGTATTAAATACTAAATACTTATTTTCCTTGATCAATAGCTTTTAGCCTTTTAAATATTAGTCACAATTTAAGCTAAATCAATTCAGCAAAGTGGCTAAATTTTAACCTTGGTCTTGTGCTTTTACTATTTGTGAATAAATTAAGAAAAAGTTGGCAAAAGGCCTGTTTTTAAATAAGATTTAGCTGGGTTATAAAGTATATTATATATATATTGTATAATATTTTAACTAGTTAAAGAAAATGTTCAATGATTAGATTTTTTATCACTAGTAATAGTTTATTAAACGGTCAAATTTTGACCTTAGGTTTTTATGCCTTTATTTTTGTAACCACAAAAGTCTATAGTCTTTTTTTTTTGCTGTATATTTGTTATTGTTGTTGCGCTTAGCCAAGTGACCTTCTTCCCCGCTGCTTCTGCTTCTTCGTTTTTATTCAGTTTTTTTTTATATTTTTATAGTTGTTGTTGTTGTATATTCCGATTCAAGTTTAAGGTCATCGCTTTGGGGGTCTAGACCCGTCGACTTGCCGTAGATTTGTAAAGTCTGTAGACGGCAGACTGTAGACCGTAGACAGACGCTAATGCCGCACTAATGGCCATTGCTATAGGGTATTTGTTGTTGTTTTTTACAGGTAGATGTACAGGTACAGGTAGCGTAGCACCCACCACCACCCCTTGCCACCTCATCACCGAAAGCAGCCCCCCTTGCCAAGGGCGTAACGAATTTTTTTGTAATCGTGTGTCTACTCGCTGCTCGTTTTTCGTTTACCTTTTTGTTTTCTTTACTATTTTTACACATAACAAAATATAATTAATTTGTTTAATTATTTAGTGAAGAAAATAGTAAAGATTTAAATATTTATTTTAATTGTGAACTTTAATCAAGAATTGAGGTATTTTGTATTTTTTTTATTTGATGATTTCATTCTAAAAAGTGTATTTATTTTGTTTTATGTGTATTATGCATTATTTCGGCTCAATGTTTGGTGTTTTAAGTTAAAACACTTTACGTGTGCGAAAAGAAAATATTCAATTGGTTAATGCCTCTCATTATGTGTGACTAATTGTTAGTGGAAAAAACATTACATTAAGTAAAAGAGTGAAACAAATTAAACAAGTCGGTCAGGGCAATTTATGAAAACATTTAAGTTAATAGAAAAAGTTAGTAAAAGGGGAAAACAATTTTAAAAAATATTTCATAAAGAAATATTATTATTTTTTAAAGGGAAAACCTTTGAAATAATATATATTTTATCATTATAATTTATATTTCCCCTTAGTTAAGTAATTGCCTTAAGAAAAACCTATATAATATGATTATTTAAACCACTTATTAAAAAATATATACCTTTAATTTAATTCATAAATTTTCCTTATAAATTTAACTTAAAAAAAAAACCTTCCAATCACATGACAATTAAACCTTTAAGAATCACACCTTTACCCTGTATTCATATATATTTTCCATCACATTACACATCCGCCACGTTGGCCCACTAAAACATTTAATTTATAAATGCTTGTTAATTAATCAGGCATTCATTTTCATTTCAAAATGCCCTCAAAAAGCAATTACCAAAATTATTATCATCATTATCGTTATGAACGCCAGATTCATTGGGTCGCACGCGGCGTATACGTTATATGTCTGTTTAACTGCCTTCGATGATGAAGATTTCTTCATTGTGTTACACCAGAACACACAAAACACATCAAAAAAAAAAAAAAAAACCTTTAACTTAACCATGGGAAACCCATGACCTTGCCTCTGAATTATACAACCAATTCTCAAATTCTTGGCTCAAAAACTTAACCAGCAACCAGCAACAACAAAAAACTGAATTCTAATTAAATTAACAAAAATAAACATAAACAACAGCGAATGTTAAATGGAAAAATTATTCTGCCAACGCCATAAAAAGTGCGATCAAGAAGCACAGCGCAGACACCGAGACACCCGGCCATTATGCATAATATATTGTATAATGGATAGTGGATAATACATAATGGAGATGGCGACGCGACGGCAAAGGAAAAGTTGAGTCAGGCCTCAGAGAGAACGCATCTGAAAGATACAGATATATGTAAGGTATATGTATGTAGTTATATCTGATATATATCTGCCCCACTCACTAACTGATCCCATTGTTCTCTCCGATGGCCTCTAAGCAAAACTGTTGGTGTAAGTGTAAGTGCAGTGGAATAATTATAAAAGAAATGTTTGCACTGTGAAAAAAATTTAAAGATTTAAGGGATTTTAATAATTTATTAAATTTTTGAAATTAATTAAAACATTTTATATTGAATCTGCAGTTTGTAGATATTCTTTTTAATAAGTTACTAATTATAAAACACATAAGTATTTTATATTAGACTTTATTATATTTTAAAAAACCTATAAATTCTTAAAAAATATTTAAATTATATCAAATAGACTTTGAACAAACATTAAACACTTTTAAAATATTAAAAAAATATATATATTTCATTTATAAGTGTAAAATTATTCTGTAGTAGTAAAGACTACATTTATAAATGTAAAAACTAACCAAAAATATATTATAAAATAATTTTTTAAAATATGCATTTAAATTCTCAATAAATAATATCCAAACTTTAACAAAAAACCACTCAATACCTATGAATTAATTAAAACCCCAACAAAATTTAATAGTTTTCTTGAATTTCCTACACCTCTGAGTATTTAAACAAATAAAAATATTAGAAACAAAACACAAAAGAACAAGAAGCGCAGCAAAGGCGAACAACAACGAAAACAAAAACAAA